CTGATGGGTGGCTTGTGCGCACCCAAAGGACATGAGGCATTGGCCCTGAGTACACAGAGCCCCTCTGTGAGGGAGGGGCAGCAACGGACATGACAGAGTGGAGGGAAAGCATGAGGCTGACAGGAGACCACACATTAAAAGCCACTTTTTATTTGAGACAAGGTCTGGCTGTGCTATAATTTAGGCTGGCCTCGAACTCACTGCAGGCCTCCTACCCCAGCCTCCAAAGTGCTGGGATTGCAGATGTGTGGCACCATGCCCAGCCTTAAAGTCACTTGGCCATGCCCACTGGCCACATGCCCTCAGCACCCCCTCGTGTGGCTCTGGCGTGCTAAAGACCCGGACACATCCGTAGCCAAAATCTGTACCTGCTCCTGGTACTTAGCAGGTCTAACCCAATCGTACCAGCCAGGCTCAGAGAGTGCCAAGAGCTGTTTCCTTCCTCCCCCTCCCTCTGCTCTCAACGTGGGCACAGGGCTTATCTCATGAGGTGTCAGGATTAAGGGAGGTCGCAGGTGAAACTCCCACCTACAGCCCTACATGATACATGTTCACTTCCCTTCCCTGGATCTGCGCTCCAGCCACTTCCTGCACCAGGAACTCCCCTCCTCCCCTCTGCTCGGGGTCAAAACTAGCCCCCTTGTCCCTGAAGGGACTCGGCCCATCAGGCACAGGGAACCTTTAGTGACCAAAGCCACTACACTACTTGTGTGATCTATCTGTACAAGTCCCTTCACCTCCCGGGAATTCCCATTTTGCTTTTCTGTAAAACACGTGGTGCTGGATTAGAAGATTTTGAATATGCTGTTGACCTTGAAAATACATATTCTTCCAGACACCACGAAGTGTCAAGAGGGTGACCGACAGCCTAGGAGGCCTGGCATCCCAGGGCCCAAGACCCACAAACAATGTGTGAACACCCTTTCCTTCCTACTGACCTAACCAATATTTGAGTTCAATGCTGTATTTCAGAGTTCTAGAAATTTCTGCCAGAAAATTTGACCCTGACCTCCCATCTGACTCACTCAGCACACAGGAGGGGCAGCCCTGTACCCAGTTCTGGCTGAGGCCAAACGCAGTGGCGCCCTGTAAGTGACCTCGGCATCCAGCTTTCTGGTTCTCGGACTTTTCTCCCCAGCTCACATCTCATGGGTGGAGGCAGCAGGCACTGGGGCTGGGCTTTCCCGCCAGCCACTCACAGCAGGGAGGAAAACTGCTTCGACTGTTCTAGAAGACAATGTTTTGTAGAGGTGTAGCAACACCCATTACACTTCAGAACGTTCGAGCCAGATGAGGTGGTGCGTGTCTGTAGTTCTAGCCTCCCAGAAGGCTGCAGCAGGACCACCACTTGAGCCCAAGTTCAGGGCTAGCCTGAGCAACACAGCAGGGCTCACCCTCAAAAAGCAAAGTGTAGCTCTGTGACAGAAGGCTTGCTAAGCATGCCTCAGCCCTGCGGACCTGAATTCAATCCTCAGCACCACAATTAAAAAATAAATAAAATATCCATGCCTTTTGACTTAGTAACTTTAGTTGAAAAAGTTTGATCTGTAGAAACACTGGACCTGGCCTGGCCTGGCGGCGCACCCCTGTAATTCCAGCACTCAGGAGGCTGAGGCAGGAGGATCACTGTGAGTTTGAACCCAGCCTGGGCCACAAAGTGAACTCAAGGCCAGACTGAACCTCATTGAGTACCCTGTGAAAAAAGACCAAAAAAGAAAAAGAAAAAAAAAAAAAAACCACTGGAACAAAGGTACACAATAAATGAACGCAGTTATACCCATGAGAAGTTATTTGCAGTAGTAGTAGCAAATAACTGTGGTTGCTCCCATTTGAGAAACAATAATAATGATAGTTATAATACTGACATATGTACGGTTAAAAACCAATTGCCAGGGCCAGCGAGATGGCTCAGCAGACTAAGCACCTGCTTTGGCAAGCACAGGGACCAGGGTTCGATCCCTGGTCCTGCAGGCCGAGCCGGTCCCGTTCCTGGGCTTGCAGAGCTCACTACGAGTCCGAGCTGCACAGTGAGACCCTGTACCAAATACATAAGAAACGTAATCGGCGTGACCTCGTAAGGCTGAGACCACAAAGAAGCACAAGGAGGGCTGCAGCACTACATTTTGCTGTTTCTGCACTGAGGCAGTTTTTGCAAGAAGAACTGCTTCTATAAATGCATTTGTATTTAGCTTGATTTATCATTCCCCAATGCATACATATTTCAAAACACATTGTACATCATACTATATGCAGTTTAACTTGCTGACTAATAATAGCAGAAGATAATTTTAGAAGGA